AATGAATAGCGTCACATTATCCTCTTTTAGTATGGAGACGTGAGTTCGCTTTCCACATTTTTCATCACGAAAAGGTTTCAGCTGTCTTAATAATGATGCATGTTGAAAAGAACCCCGTTGATGTTGGACTACTTGCCAACTACACTAGTGAGGAGTATGCTTGTAATCAGTAAGTAGTATCAAATACAGGAATACTGAACATGTATATAATATGCAGGTAATTATTTTTAAATAATAGTTATAAACTAATAATAACGATATTCTAATAATAATGATATAATAATATAAAATAATGATAAAATAATATAAAATAATGATATAATAATATAAAATAATGATATACTATTGAAAACGACATAATGATAGAAAATAATTATATAAAATAATGATAAGGAAATAATAAAATAATGCAGATAATGATAATTATATCAATATAATAATAACTAGAAGCGCTCAGGTATGTGCTATTCCTCCGCCAAGCAATAGGGTACCTGCTGCAATGAAAATAATCACACTTGAAGAATTATATTAAAATCACCTCCTTCTCGAGGCACACCTTAAGCAAAAAAATAAATAAAAAAAAATAATAATAATAATAAAATAAAATAATAATAATAAATAATAATAATAATAATAAAAATCTGTTCATAACATTTTTGAATTCTACTGGTAACTAATAAATTAACTAAGTAACGCAACCAAAAACATAACTTCCTTGGCGGGAGTAACGATCCCGATGATGAGGATAATAATAGTAATAGTAATAATAGAATAATATTGATTATGGTATAATAATAATAATGATCAATAGTAATAATAAAAAATAACAATAATGATAACAAATAATAACAAATGTAATGACAATGATAATATTAATCAATGACAATAATGTGTAATAATGACAATTGTAATGATAATAATGACAATTGTAATGATAATAATGACAATTGTAATAATAATAGTAATTGTAACGACAATAATATAATATTAACGATAATGATGATAAATGTTAAGGTAATAATAACTGTAATGATGTTATTATCATTACAGTTATTATTACCTTTAGTAATAGTAATAATGATGATAATGATAAAAGCAATAATGATAATATTGATAACCATAACAGCAATAATAATAATAATAATAATATTAATAATCTTCATCATCACTATATGTAAATATCTATACATAATGACAAGGATAATAATAAGAATGGGAATAATGATAATAATAAAAATAAAGATAATAATAAAAATAAAGATAATAAATAAAATAAAAAGATAATAAAAATAAGATAATAATAAAAATAAAATAATATAAAAATAAAGATAATAATAAAAATAAAGAATAAAAATAAAGATAATAATAAAAATAAAGATAATAATAAAAATAAGATAATAATAAATAAGATAATAATAAAAATATAAGATAATAAATAAAAATAAAGATAATAATAAAAATAAAGAAGATAATAATAAAATAAAGATAATAATAAAAATAAAGATAATAATAAAAATAAGATAATAATAAAAAAGATAATAATAAAAATAAAGATAATAAATAAAAATAAGATATAATAAAAATAAAGAATAATAATAAAATAAATAATAAAAAATAAGATAATAATAAAAATAAAGATAATAATAAAAATAAAGATAATAATAAAAATAAAGATAATAATAATAATAATAATAATAATCTTCATCATCACTATATTTATATATATACACAATGACAACGATAACAATAAGAATAAGAATAAAGATAATGATAATAATAATGATAATGATAATAATAAAGATAATAATGATAATGATAATAATAAAGATAATAATGATAATGATAATATAATATGATATGATAATAATGATAATGATAATAATGATAATGATAATAATGATAATGATAATAATGATAATGATAATAATGATAATGATAATAATGATAATAATGATAATGATAATAATAAAGATAATAATGATAATGATAATAATAGTAATGATAATAATAATTATGATACTAAACACAATACTGATAAATGATAATGTGAGAATTACACATTATTGGTTCACGCAACATATCCCAAGACCTTTCCTTATTCCTACAGTTCGGCATATTTTCATTAATGAACACACAATATGACCCTACACACACGCAACATATCCCAAGACCTTTCCTTATTCCTACAGTTCGGCATATTCTCCTTTTCACCTAAGTATGTACAACCCTTCCCGAATGCCCATCACCAACAGGTATTTATGGTCGTAGTAATTTCATCTTCGCGTATGACTTATCCTTATATCATCTGGTTCACAAGAGTAAGATGGATATTTCAGTGAGGAACATTCCCCCTCAAGGCGCGCCCGTCCATCTGGCTCCCATTTACGTGGCTCCCATTCCAACAGCCCCCATCCCGAAGGCGCCCATTTCCATGCTGCCCGTTGACGAAGCTCCTGTTTACGTGGCTCCGGACCCGTTTTACTACGCGTGATTGTTGAATTATGCTTTGTTGTTTTCTTTTTTTATAAAATGTTTATATCTAGCCCCTTGTTATGTTAGTATATGTCTTTTTAAAAAAAAAAAAAAATCCGAGAAATTATTTTTTATCCTTCCCTTAGTAGTCCAACAGGTAGAGAGGCCGTTCAGTGTACCTAGATTTGCGAAGTCTAGCTTCGTCCGAGCCTTTTCTCTGGAGTGGCCCGGCCTGTGGCAGATTTTTCTAGTTATTTCATGGGTTTTGTTTGAACCGTATGCTTAGCGTGGAGGCTGGCTTACAAGCAAGCAATCCAGCTGCCACGACGTAAGCATGTGGCATACCCTTCTTATCAGCCCGACGGCTGTGGTGGGGTCCCTGTCTCAGAAACTGCGTGTTCACAATTCTGTACGTAACTGGTTGGCGTTCGGCTCGCCGCAATGCTTACATTTCTTGTCGACCGCGTCATCAATATTTGCCAAGCGCATGGGTAACCTAGTCTTAATCTGTGCAGTAGGACTTCGGCACCTCTATTTTTGGAGGAAGTGCCAATTGATCATATCCTGGGGTGAGGGAGAGTTTGTGGTATTTTCTGTGTCCGCCGGAGAATGGTAAGCACCGTATCGATGGACCTATAGCTCAATATTCTTTGACCATCACGGGGGTTTGGGACATGCTCCTGCCCTTTTCGGCTAGTCTGTCAGCAAGCTCATTCCCTCGGATGCCTATGTGGCTTGGGACCCAGTTTATGATTACTCTTCTACCCTGATCAAGGATCCTCTGTGCTGTGGTGAGGAGTGGTTAGGAGTTAGATGTAGCCGTTGTGCATGCCGTGTTATAGACAGTCAATGGCAGATCTAGAGTCGGTGTGTATAACCACCTGTCCTTTCCTTAGGGACGCGTAGGCCAGGGCTCCCATGATCGCAATTGTATCTGCTTGGAGCGAGGTGCCATTGTTAGTGATCCTGATGGATGTTGTGGTATCCCTTGCTGCGAAGCCGGCGCCTGCAGTGTGGTTTATGGGATCCACAGATCTGTCCGCGAAGTAGGTTCTACTACCCGGAGGAGTTGCTAGAAACAATGAGGTCGACAGAAGCATAATCAACAATAGGCCGGACAGCGTATACACAGAATGCTCTTAGTACTTTGTGTCCCGCTCCTATGTGTCTCCCGGTCATTACTTCAATGACAAACAGCCTTTCTTTAGTTCGATCAAGCAGGCACTGGATCTCCTTTTTGAAAGTGAGTGTGTGACCTATCCAAACCCCAAGGTATTGATAGTCCTTAACCCATTCCAGATCCATGCCCTGGACAGTGAGTGTTTTTTACACTGGCTTTCAGAGCCATAGCTTTTGATTTTGCTGCTGAAATTTTTAGACTCGTCCTGCAACACTCCTCAGACAAAAGGTCCAGACATCGCTGGGCTCTACTGAGGCGGTGCTTACCAGAGGAGGTGATTGCAAGATCGTCTAGAGAGGGCCATGAACACAAGTACAAACACAGTAACATAAACACCATAAAAAAACACAACAGGTCCATTTTCGTTGCTTTCGTCTAAGTAAAGGGTTACGTTTCTCTATTGTCATCTCTATCTGAACTAGAAAACACTCCAAATCAGGTGAATATGCACTTATGTGCCAACAGTAACATGCACACAAAGGTAAAATGAAACATTGCCAGAGTTTATACTGACAATGCCATTCATACCCAGTATCAAACAGGCTCTCCGTTGGTTGGCTCGCCAATTTTGCCTGAATGACGGGTATTAAGCGAATGCCCATCAGTCAGTGCTTGATTATGTAGACAGGTTCTCAGAGGTGATCTGTGCATTGATACCTAGCGTATAATGGCTGATATGAATGTGCACATGTGAAACCACTTAGTCATTTATGATAATTACCGTCAGGATACTTGTGACTGCAATATCACCTCCGCACATATTCTCTCTATTATGCCTCATAATATTGGCTGTTTGCACATTCATTCACATAGCATAAAATGGTACCACAGTGAAAGTTCCAGATTTATTATCTTCCTTTCACAGAATATCCTCAGACATGCATATATTAATTCTCCTTCCTTTACGGCTGATTGATCCTTAGTTTGCAACCTGTTGTTACAGCGCACACTTTAATTACAATAAAATATCCGAGTTTAAAAGTCAGCCAATAATCAAACCCTGTATTTTTATCATTAATCATCTACGTTTTTTTTACCCTATTTACTAGGCGAGTAAAAAAAAAAAAAAAATCTAATGACTTTCATTCTAAGACAATTTTTCAAAGACTGTATGAAGTCAATTGTACCCAGTTATCAATCTTAGAATAACCATTGTAAAAATATTAGGAGAAGATCGATCATTTCAGTTTAACCTTACTGTTGTGAAAGCCATACTTAATTGCATTCATTAATTAAAGATTCACCAAGCACAGTGGTTGCTACTTTCCACTTTTCGAAGAAAAATATACACCATTATCAAAATGTTCTCTAGTTAAATAAGGTTGTTTGTATTAAAGGAAAATATGACTAAACTTTTGCTCTTTATTTCAATTTGAACAATGCCTTAACAAGGTCATTTTTGAAGAATGAAAGATAATTAACTAACAGCAGAAAGCAAAAGCAATAAAAAAGTCTGCATACATAAAAAAATAGCATCTCCTACAATTAAGGAGACATGGAAAAGCATGTACTGGCCTATTTGTAAATTAAGAGTATTTGCATATTTTTATACCATAACGGTTCAAGAATAGAAATGTATCATTTTTATGTTGTGGTTTCCTATTAACTTAAATTATGAAAAAGTAGACTGTTTTGAGCTTTGTTTCATATATGGTTCTTCAGACTGCTACAATGGCCTTGCCTGTATTTTCGCCATGGAAGAGGCCTATGAATGCTTCTGGCATTTTATCAAATCCCTTTACAACAGTTTCCTTGTACTTGACTTTGCCCTGTAAATGGATAAGGTCACTTTTAGTTTGTTTGTTTTTTAATACAGAATAAAAAGTGATACAAAATAACATGTCTATGGATATCAAGAAATTTATTCATTTACTTAACTCACAATGTATAAAAAAAGAGATGAGAAAAGGGAGGAAGAATGGGAAGGGAGAGTAAACAAAGATATAGCTAAACAGAAGCACACGTGAAAAACCTTGATAAAGAGCCAAAATGTACCAGCCTCACGAAAAAAAACATTATACAAGATCACTACTAACCTCATTGATCCACTGCTTCATCTGATCAATTCCTTCCATCCAGCGGTCAAACCATCTTGTAACAATGAAGCCTTCCACTGCAAGCTGCTTCCAAAGTATCGTAGCTGGATTCAATGGACCTGGAACATTGAATAATGAAACAATTATCTTCATATAGCAATTGATTATCCATATATAATACTATCAACACTGAGGAAGCAGAACTGTTAATAAAATAAATAAAAATGGTATTCTAGTCTTCAATTTGTACTATAAATAAATGCACAATACTTGCTAAAGAGGACTAATAAGATAAGCAACTAACCATATATTCTACAGATATTCACACAAAGAGGGGAGACTTACTAGGAGAGAAAAGTCATTACAACACCAACAACGAAATAGAAAGCTTACTAGTCATTGACACCACACCAGAATCTTTATTGTCGTCATTGTACTCTGAAATCACACCACAAATTGCCATTCTGCCCCTCTCAGCCATGTGTGGTAGAGCGTCCGCAGTAAACTGTCCTCCAACCTTAAAATAAACAAAAATAAGATTAAGACGAATAAGTAATACACTAAAATTTAGATCTAACCTTTTCCTTCATATATCAACACAAATAAATTCATAATTTATTAATTCTACACAAAAAAATACATAACCACATTATTTAAAAGTATACCATCAAGAAGTAATATTTAATAGTTATACTCTTAAAATAAGAATAAATAATATTCTGACTCAGATTAATGGATTATGGACACCTGCCAAACTCCTTACAGTTGCTTGGTTACCTGGATAAACAAGTTTGGTTTAAATACTGTAATATTCTAAATCTGAATGTAAAAATATTATGGAATCAACAGTCTCTACCTTAAATTCTATTACCCATATTATTCCATGCAATTTTGATGCTTTTTTCATCTTTAAGTAAAATGAAAATAAAATTTGTAAAAAGAAAGGGTCAAAACTTACATTTTCAAAGAAGCAATTAATTTTTTCAGGTGCTGCTTGACCAAGTTCCTCCCCAACATTTGCCGTTTTATAGTTGAAGGCATGGTCTGCCCCTAGTTCTTTGGTCCATGCTACCTTTTCATCAGATCCCGAAAAGGCAATCACCTTACATCCTAAAAGGGAAAATATATAAAAATAAAGCATTCAGAAATTCCTTACCATAAATATGTTCTCAAACGGCTATTCATAAGCAACGCTGATACTGTAAATTCAAAATTTTACATCAAGTTTCTCCAATTATTATGGGCTGACAGTTTTAAAATTTATTTAACTCTATATTCTGTGCCTATCGCTTTCAGCCACAGCAGACTCTTATTCTCAAGTACTGACAAAACTGACAAAGTTTTTTTAATTAAGAACTTGAAAATAAGATTTCGCAATTTTCGCATTTTAGTACTAACCTTTGATCTTGGCTATCTGAATTACAGCACTACCAACTGCTCCAGCAGCAGCATTTACCAGTACAGTGTCTCCTGCTTTTGGTCGGCAGATTTCAAGGAACCCAAAATATGCTGTATTCCTGTGAGGAAAAATATAACTTTATATATTTTAAAAGTAATAATGTCCTTTAAGAAATATATCAATATATTGTTTCCATGTATAATAAACAAAGAAGAAGAAAGATTACTTCTAACTTCAAATCCTGAGGAGCTGTATACTTCAACATGATCTTGACTTATCTTTTTCTACATCACCACAAGACTACTAATGCAACTTACCCAGGCATCCCCAGAATCCCTAAGCCAAGACTCTTGGGCAAGTCTCCCATTTCTGGCAGCTTCATGGGCTTCTGGAAAAAGTTATCAGCCTTGAAGTCCTTCTCAGTGAGTCGGGTGTGAGACCGCCAGCCAGATGGTGAGACAACATACGTACCAACTGGCCAATCTGGGTTCTTACTCTCAATCACTCTGAAATCAAAATTGAAGTTTTTATTATTATTGCCTATACCTCTCTAAAGGAAATATATAATAAAATAAGATTATGGCTTCATACGAGAGAATCTTTTCAAAGCCTCATGTCCTCACACGGAGAGGTCTAGAGGAACTAAGTAAGGATTTACTAAACTCCCTTGTTTGTACTTTCAGCATGCAATTGTTGACTTGTCTATATTATATATATATATATATATATATATATATATAGCCAATGAATTTTCATCTCCCTAAACCAATTTAGGCATTTACAATTAATCGGAAAAAGATCATTCTACCTTCTGGAAAGTGAATTTGTTATATAAAGCAAAATCTCAAAAGCAAAAATAATATAACAAGAGTTAAATTCACATACTTTGCAACCTGTGTACCAGTCACAGGGGCTTCAAAAGGGATTTGCTTGATCATATACCGCATGTATGGATCTACACTCAAAAATTCAGCTTCAATAATAACATCTGCAAAAAATATTTGTAGTCATGAGTGTAATTGCAAGACTGAAAATAAGCTAATTTTAAACAATGAAAAAAGGTTAATCCTTTGCCAGAATATTAGAATAACTGGATTCTAATATCTTACTATGCGAGAACAGTATTGCCTTAAATTACTTAAGAAAAACCCAATAATAATGATCAACTGATAATAAAAGTAATTGATTCTTATAATCTTTAGGAATATAGAAATCAAAAGGCACTACATATGCAACATGTTGATAAACATTACCTCCATCTTCACAAGCAAGCTCTTCTTCCACACATACAAAGTCTTCCTTTTTGGGCATCCCCTCTGGCCGCTTGGCTAGTTTCCATACCTTTGCTGTCACCATTTTGGCTTCTAGGATGCTGGGGAATACAGATTTCCTGCAAGAAGATAAAAGCCACATGTATCTCTATGGATAATAAAGTCCTGGAAGAGGAGTGTGTGACTGTAGAAGGAGACTTACACGGACATGTTGGAAAGAGGGGAGCTGGTTTTGTGGAGGTACATGGAGGTCAGAGGTAAGGCAACAGAAACTAATTAGCACAAAGCCTGGAGTTGTTCCCGATGATCATTTGATTACATATAAGTTACATGTTAAGTGTGGAGGAATTAAAAGCCAAAATGATTTCATGCTGGTAATGAGGGAAAGGGAAAAGAGTTATGAATTGAAAATCATACCAGAAGTGTGTCCTAAGCAACACAGATTAGTAGAAATGGATATTAAGTAGAGGAAAAGCAAGTTAAGGAGGAGAAATAACAGGATAATAGAGGTCTGACACCTAAAAGGAAACAAAGCAAGAGAATATTGTGAAAGAGGAATACCAATCATGGGAGCATAGAAAGGATGGAGAAAAATGAGGGAGACAAGGTTATAACAGCAGCGGAAGTAGGAATTTGAACAAAAGTAGGAGCCGCAAAAAAAAAGACAGTGGTGGCAATAAGAAATCCAAGAAAAGTGATAGAAAAAGAAATAGAAAACAGGCAGGAATAAGAAAGATGAAGTAAGGTATAGGGAAGAGAAGAGAAAGGTAATGTGGGTAGTTATAACAGTAAGTTGGGAAGTGTACTAAAAATGTTATGACACCCTTAACAGGAGATGAAAAAGTAATATATATAGTAGCTAAAGAAATTCATAAAAAATGTAGATCTGAAGATGTGTGTGGTAAGGGATGGAAATGGAAGCAATAGTAGAAGCTAAAAATATAAAAGGAAGATGGAAATAATTTTTATTTTAGTGAACTGAATATACCAAATAAATAGGAATATTTAATGAAGCAGACACAAAAGAAGAGGAAGCAATAAGAAAGATTAAGAGGAAAAGCAGCTGTGGCAACTGAGGTAACTGCGATAGTAAGGCATCAGGGTGGACTATGTGGGTATTGATAAACAAAACATAGGAGGAAAGGATATCATAGGAATGGAGAAAAGAGGATATTACTTATATGTAAACAAAAAAGAGACATCTGCATATGGGAGTGTGAAAACTGCAGAGGGATAAAGTTTGGGGGGCATGGACTGAAGGTACTGGAAAAGATAAATGGCTAAGAAAGTTGTACCTAATGAAATAGTTTGTTTTTTAAGGAAAATAAAAAAACAAGATACAAGAGTCACCATCAGAACCTCACAAGGGAAAAAAAAAAAAACAATGGAGGGGAACATTCCGCAGTCTTATAGTCCTGGAGAAGGTATATGACAGAGGGCCAAGAGACGAGGTATATTGGCGTCTGAAGAATGGTGATGGAGATGTAAAGTGGGGCAAGTATAGCATTTGGGACAAATGAGAGACTAGGAGTGTCCAGGTGAATGTAATATTACATTAAGGGCAAGCCATTAGCCCCTTCTAGTTTGTGCTTGTGATCATTGACCTGATAAGAAAGAGAAACAAGTGGGAGTTATTGTTTCC